TTTTAAGAATAAACTAAAGAAGGTCCATGGGGCTTCCCTGGTGGCACAGTGGTTGAGAGTCTGCCTGCTGATGCAGGGGACACGGGTTCGTGCCCCAGTCCGGGAAGATCCCACATGCCACAGAGCGGCTGGGCCCGTGAGCCATGGCCGCTAAGCCTGTGCGTCCGGAGCCTGTGCTCCACAATGGGAGAGGCCACAGCAGTAAGAGGCCCGCGTACCGCAAAAAAAAAAAACAAGGTCCATGAAGGGTAAACAAAGTAAGGCAACATGATGAACAGACAAGAAAATGAGACTGGGCATCATAACTCTTGGTTTCAGGGTCTCACTCTGCCACCAACTGTCACCTTATCCAGCGAACACCATGTTCCTTGTTTTCCCCATCTACAAATTGGAGAAAACACTGTTGACGATGGGGTGGCTGCACAGTGGCATAAATGAGAATCTCTGTGAAGATGTGTATTTTGCCAAGTGTAAAGAGCTACAGAAATGGTAAAGGAACTCACTAGTTATAAGCGGAAAAAAACCCTTTATTTCTATCAAATTAAAAAGTATGAATCAATCTTCAAGCAAGATAAAATCAATAACACAATTAACAGTTAAGAGAGCATGTACAGATTAGACTACAGGTTTAGAATCTTTGAATTAAGCACATACACCGAAATCAAGAGGGCCGACAACTTTCACACTGAGGAAAAGCACTGACTCATCGTAAACACATGACTTCTGGGAAAATGGAGCTGACATCTCACAGGACAGTAAACCAGAGACAAGTTGTCATTAGGTTAGAGAACTGATTTAAGCTCAAGAGGGATAATAGTGAAATGTCACTGTAACTCAACAATTTCCCGAGATCTATTCATCTCAAAAACAAGAACATACAAAAATCAGTAGTATAAATTCTCATAAAACTAGAAAAGCCCTCTAAGCCCTGACACCCTGTAGCTTACATAAAGACTGAGTTTTTGTTTTTCTTCCCTTTATTCTTCTCTAAATTAAACACAATACATTGTTTTTATTTAACACATTTCTGACTTTATATCCAAAGCCTTAAATGAAGAAGAGAAAGGTTTTATGAAACGAAGTTAGACACACATCAACCCCAGGGAGAATCTTTAAGGTGCGCTGCTCTTTGACATGTGTTTAAACAGGAAATCTTTTATTTCAAGAATTAACACTGTGCTTTCTGGAATAGCCTAATTATCACCAAAGAAGGAATGAATATTCTCTCACTCTCTCTCTCTGTCTCTCTCTCTCTCTCTGTCTCTCTCTCTCTCTCACACACACACACACACACCAATTTAGGGAATTCCCTGAAGCATACAGATCACGGCATTTATTTTGGCAAGAACTGTGCAATTTGTTAAAAGAAAAGATAAGGTACGGCATTTCTCAACACTTGTAATTATGTCTCAACAGATGCAGGAAGCAGATTTTTCCTCATAGTTGAAATACAGCTTCATGGTTCCCCGACACCTGGGTCTTGCACACTTTTCATCTGGAAACCAGACTGGGTCAGTTATTTATGGAAAGGGACGATAACTTATGACCAGACCACATTCCCTTATTAAAAGAAGTCTCTGCTACTGGGTTCTTCTTTTGAAACACCAAATAGACAAGGAGTACTGAAAATGGAGGGGAATAGAGAGAAAGCAATCCATACTATGAATACAACTCTGTCTTATGAATTGCCTTTCTGGTAAAACTACTGCAGTGAGAAAAGATATCGTCTATTAAATGAAAAGAAATGAAATTCATCAGGTAGATACAAATGCCTCCCGAGATCCTGTGACCCAGCAGAGTACAGATGAGACACATGCCCTCTGTATATACAGTGTGCAACTACCACCAGGACCCACCCAGTGCCCATTTCCTGTCTCAGCACCAGAGCCAAAAGCAAGGATTCCAGGTGGGAGCAAATATATTGTTTTACCTATTCATGAGAACAGGGAGCTCAAACTACAGAAACGTACAAAAAAGGCCTTTTTGAATTTCCTGATTAATCCCTATAGGTAAAGGAAAAGGTTAAGTAGACAGAATTATTTCAGTTTTTAAATACAAGGAGGCAAGATCATTGAGATAATACTATCTATTACATAGGGGAATTGTGGAGGATTTAATTACACAATGGATGCAGCACACTTAGCACCGAGTACTAATAAACAGTAACTACCAAGAATATGCTGATACCTTAATATATTTGGAAATCTGCTGACTTTATGATTTGGGCAAAGACACTCCCCACCCCCAGCAGATGGTAAGACCTCTTTAAACAAATAGCCAAAGTCAGATATTGAACTCAGGTCCCAGTGAACTAAATTTTACAAACACTCTATTTATGGGTTTATATAGGCATCTTTCTATCTAAATTTATCCTGTCAACAACCTAATAATGGCAGAAAAGGCCACACCATCACCTCTCTCCCAAGATCCTGTCACCTATGCCTATTCTTACCTTTTCCCCTTCCCTACCAAAGAGAGGGGCACAGCCTGGGTGAAGCTGGGCTGCGGGAGGATGCCAGGAGTGACCCTGTGGAAGGAAGGTGAGACAGGAAGCCAATATCCCACTTCTGCCAGAACTGTGCATGATAAGCACTGCCACCACATCAGAGGGTGGACTTGGCATTCAGGGTCATGTTAATGTGTAATGTCATACAGGGAAGATAGTATGAAAGTCAAGGATGACCCTATATTAGGGGCTCAGTCACCATTTGTTCACCTGCTAGCCCTTTAGGGAAGATCAGTTACCATCAGGGCCTTGTCTCGGGGTGGGAGTGAGGGAGGGATTTGTTCTGATGTCAGGGAAGCAAAGGGAGTAGTGTCTGGTGAATTCGCAGGAGTCCAGGCCTGTGTGTGAGCACCACAGCTGGGGTGGCTCAAGCATAAAGGTCCCTTCAGGGGCACAATGCCATGGACACTGAAAGGGTAGGTGAAGACCTTGAGCTTGCCTCTGCCACAGATTAGCCTGGACCCAAGCCTACTTTGACAGCCTTTCATTTTATTTACAAATGAGTAGTTATGGAGGATCAAGGGCTCAGACTCTCCGCTAGCAGCTTCCTTTGCTTAAGCAAAAGTTTAAAAAAAAAAAAAAAAAAAAAAAAAGGAAAAAGCCCAAAATTTCATTTTATTTACAAATGAGTAGTTATGGAGGATCAAGGGCTCAGACTCTCCGCTAGCAGCTTCCTTTGCTTAAGCAAAAATTTAAAAAAAAAAAAAAAAAAAAAAAAAGGGAACAGTCCCATACAGAGCTGAATGTCACCATAGTGAACTCTGCTATTTTTGACATGAGGCCACTTGGAAATATAAGCAAAACCAAGCAGCTCAGTGCCCTGCCTTGCTTGGGACAGGACGCAGGTAGTTAACATCCAGGAGCAGAGTCAGGAAAACCTGGCTTTGAGTCCTGACTACACTGTGCGCTGGCAGCAGGAGCCAGGGCAAGATGCTTTACTTTTCTGACCCTCGCCTTCTTTGTTTATAAACATGGAATCGTGCCTATCTCAAAGGATGCTGGAAAGAGTAAATGAGATGTTTGTAAAGGTCCTAAAACTGTACATAGCACTCAGTAGGCCTTCAATAAATGGTACCTATTATATATACTTGTTTTAGTGTTAGAGTGTATTAAACACAGCAATATTTTCAAGTTCCAAGTAAGTGGGAAGCCGGTCAGGATAGTGGAAAGCAAACTGAACGCAGAGCTGGCTAGAATCACAGAAGGTGGGGCCACGTAGGAATCTTAGAAACCAGCCAAACTACTCTTTTTGCCTAACTGTAATGGAACCTCATGTGTGGCAGTAGAAGGAAAACTAAAGAAAGATATCCCTTTAATTTTATCTTTGTCAAAATATTTTTAAGAAAATTTTATTTTTTTTTACAAAATCACTTAAGGAAAAACTAGACTTTGTTGAAGAAAACCAGAAACAGATTTTTTAGGCCACTGAACATGAAACAAGCATCATATTTCAAAGCCCACAGAAACAGTGTTTGGCTTTTATTGGTCTCACCTAGCAAAGGGGATTGCCCTCAACTGCAGGGCAACCTCAGAAACAGCACAGTGTTGAGACACACTGAGAGTGGCTCTGACACTGGCACTAAGCATCTATTTTGCTGGAAGGGAGAAGGGAGGGAAGGATGGAGGAGCAGAGTATATGGAATCAGGGGTCACCTAGGCCGTTTCCCACGCCTCTTTGAAAAAGTCCAAAGCCAGTGGTTACACTGGAACATCTGCTAAACATTGAGAGAAGTGAAGAAAGAGGTCTGAAGATTTTTCTGCTTCCAAAAAGCACACACTTTCCTCTTCTGAATGATCCACATAATAACCTTAACTTTCTACTTTTCCCACTTTGTGGAAATTGTCTCCAAGGCAGAAGCAATTTTCCTTATAGCAGACTTGTTTTTCTTTGCCCGATTCCCCAGGAAACCTGAGCTGTATCTGCATGTCTGATTTTCACCCTATCCCTATCAACTGGCATTCAAACACAAGTCTTCTAAAAAGTCACTGTCATGCACTGATGTTTCAAATACCTGAACTGGGCATTTTAAATGCATAAACCTAAAAAGTAAATAATCTTCTTTCACTTTGATGCAGAGGATAAGGAGGAAACTGGTCTGTGTTTCCACTAAGGTAGCCAAAGAACATTCACATGAAGGGACAAAGGGAGAGAGAATGGCAAGAGTGGGGGGCAGTATTTGTAAGGAAGATGTACGGCTACCATACAGAATCCATGGGTCAGTGAATTGACTGTGGATTCACTGCGACATCTTGGGAAAATAAATAATGTGTTTCAACACCACCTATGCTGAAATAGGCTTCTTTTGTTTTCTCACCAGTATGAAGAGTTAGACAAAAGTCACTCCCAGGAATAGTAAAGGACCCTCCCTGGGGACAATCACGATGCATGAAGAGTAATATCTATTTTTAAGGCAACAGGAATAAATTTCATTGTCCTTCCCAGAGGAGAGCAAGAATTATAAAAGATGGCCACCAAGTCTGGAAACCGGGCAAATCCTTAAATAAATGGTTTACTGATACTACATTTCAGTGAATGACAAAATGGTATGATCTATATTTCTAGACTTAATGGCCACTCTATAGAAAGCATCTTTGGAATAGAATAAAAAATTATGATTTTTGTCAAATTCCATAATCGTAAACCTGTCATCATCAGTCCAGGCATGGCTAGTGCAACATTTTCCTCAACCCCACAGGCTCCATTCCCTTCACCAACTATTTATAATATGCTTGGGTCACTCACAGGAGAAAAACACTGTCAGCATCAATATTTAGCAGCATTTTCAAAATACATTTTTTTGTCTTGACTAAAAAGCTAAACTATTCATTTAGTCCAGTAATTCCATATGGTCTTATTTACTTCCATACATAAGATATGATATGATCTTTTAACAGTTATGGAGGTGAATATTTGCCAGTTTTTGAGGGTTCCCTAAAGACTCTGAGGGTTTTATTTTGCCACAATAAAAGAAAGGAGCAGTGTCAACCCATGAGAGTCAGACCAGCAGTTTAAATAGACCCTCCACATAGCTCAGTTCCTAGTGCATAAAGAGATTCAACACAGTCCCCTAGCTCTCAGCTCTTAGAAAGGAATTTGAGAGGGATAAAAGCAGTAACAATCTGTATTACTTAATAGTCTAGGAAGGGAGAAAACAGATGTCTAATAAAAGTAGTAAAAGCCAAATCCTTTCATTCCAGGATGACTGGAAAGGAGAGATTCTATGGAGTATGGATGCAGAGAGGAGGCGTCATTCCTAAGGGAAAAAATGAATTGTGGAGAGTGACTCAAGGCCAGAGAACCAACCACCGAGTGCTTAGCTTCAATCCCACTGTCACCAGAAGGGCACATACCAGAGAACCTGGGACAAAGGCAGCTACAGCCCTTGGCATTCTCAGGCCTCCTGGTGCTATGGTTCAACAGCCTTTGGGGGCTGGGGAGAACCAGGGACCACCACCATCACGTGTGAAAAGGCCACTATGGCAACAACATGGCTGTCGAAAATCAGCTAGAGCTTGGGTTATACACCACTTGAAATCCAGCCTGTACTTGCTTTCTTTCTTGTGAAGGACTTGAGACATGTGCAGGGACAGCTTAAACATGTGCAGGTAGCCCTTTTAGAAATGCAGAGAAGAGCCTCTTCATTAACTCTTTCTATTCATTAGTTTTCATAGCAGTTCACCATTTAAACTAGAAAAGATGCTGCAAGCTATCTCAGCTAGCTGCTAATTGGGACATGGCACCAACACTACACATACAATTGAATGGATGACCATATCTTCCTGGTTCTTCCACTGGGCGGGCTCAGTAGGCTTCTTTGGACTGAATAGGTGTGATCTTATTCGAGAAAAGTGTGTAAACATAGGGCCAGATTTTGTTAGTCTCCGTTCCAGAAAATTGGTGGAGTACTCCTCGGCTCCTGAAAAACAAAGTCCAACACACAAAGCATTTTAGGTTTCCTTTTGACATGATATTAGAGCAGAAGAAGACCCTGGGCATAATGTAAGCACAATCTCATTGTCTATATCACACATCACTGAATGCCAAAACAGCCCCTACAAATGTATCAACACCCCCCGTAATTCTGGCAAGCTTGCCATCGTGCCACCTTTTCTTCTCCCCTTTAAAAACATATTAAAGGGGGGCTTCCCTGGTGGCACAGTGGTTGAGAGTCCACCTGCTGATGCAGGGGACACGGGTTCGTGCCCTGATCCGGGAAGATCCCACGAGCCGCGGAGTGGCTGGGGCCGTGAGCCATGGCCGCTGAGCCTGCGCATCCAGAGCCTGTGCTCCGCAACGGGAGAGGCCACAACAGTGAGAGGCCGGCATACAGCAAAAAAAAAAAACAAAACAAAAAAACATATTAAAGGGGACTTCCCTGGAGGCCCAGTGGTTAAGACTTCGCCTTCCAATGCAGGGGGGTGCGGGTTTGATCCCTGGTCGGGGAGCTAAGATCCCACATGCTTCGGGGCACAAAAACCAAAACATAAAACAGAAGCAATATTGTAACAAAAATTCAATAAAGACTTTAAAAATGGTCCACATCAAAAACAAAAAAAACCTTAAAAAACTAAATAAAAACATATCCAAGAATAACATTATAGGGACAACCCCAAATCTGCCTCAATATATACATTAAAAAGCAAATCACTGACAATCCTTGCTACTCTAAAACCTTTATTACTTACAACAATAGATCATGAAATACAAGATGTGTTCTAATAATATGATCAGAAACGTCATATCTACAGGGTTGCTAACTTATTCGGGGGGTACAAGGTCAGAAATTGATTATAGCAGAGGCTGTACACTGCTGTCCTGAATGCAGTCCACATATAGGGTTTGTTTGGCTTCCATGTGGTTAAAATTTTTTTAACTTGTTGCCAATATAAAAACTGGGGAGAGCCAGTGCACCACTGATGTCACCGCCGCTGACTGCTTTCAGGTAGGCAGGAGTGGAAGGCCCGCGAGTTGGTCATAATGGCAGGCGAAGAAATTAATGAAGACTATCCTGTAGAAATTGATGGTATTTATCAACGTTTGAGAATTCCACTGGTGCTGTGGATGAGACACTGAAAACCATGACGTCTGTGTCTAGAAATGAGTTCAGTTGTTGCAGAACTTGGACCCATTTGAACGAGCGAAAAGTGGATTTAGTTTCTACTTACACATTAAATTCAGTGTTTTGGGTTTATTTGGCAACTCAGGGAATCAATCCTAAGGAACATCCAGTAAAGCAAGAATTAGAAAGAATCAGAATATACATGAACAGAGTCAAGGAAATAACAGACAAGAAAGAGGCTGACAAGCTGGACAGGGGGGTGGCTTCAAGATTTGTAAAAAACGCCCTCTGGGAACCAAAACCTAAAAATGCATCAAAGTTGCCAATAAAGGAAAAAGTAAAAATTAACCTTTTGGTTTTGATGTACACATGTTCAAAAAGTACATAATTTTTATTGTTTTCCACAAATAGATGATGATTATGTGGCAATGTAAGGTTTAAATGTATTCCTTATTGAATTCATATATAAAATTTGCATTTTAAATCTGTAATGCTAAATACTTTTTTCCCCCGAAAGATTAAGTTATCTTTAGAGATTTTCCTATAGAACACTATGAGGTTTTTAACGTTTTGGTATATTTTATATTTATAATTTACCATCTCTTGACAAGACTCATTTCTTTATACAGGTCAATCTTTCAAGTGCCTTTTTATAAGCAACTATGAAATTTAAGTTAAATGTTCTTTGTAAATATTTGTCTATTTCTGATGAATAATGATTTTATGAAGTAAGCTGAAGTTATAAATATGTCCGTTTTCACTATATAAAATTAATAAAGCATGACATGAGTTAAATGTCCTTTTTCTCTGTGTAGTTATTTCATTATGCTTTCATGGTTTTGGGAATCACTGCTTTTTGTGATATCTGAAGTATGAAATTAAGACTTTAAGGTTAGTCTTTAATTCTTGGCACTTTGCCAGTACGTCCCATTTAAAGTAAAATATATTCTCATTTATTTTAGATGGGAAATGAGGTTATATAATGATGGCTGAATTTTGCATAATGGCTATACCCTATCAATAAAGCTGTAAATGTTGTGTAAAAAAATTAAAAATTAAAAAAATAAAATAATATAATAAAAATTGGGATTTTCTTCCACACAGAGAGCCTGATTTCTGCTTCTCTTGAAAAACAGGGATCACTGGTCACGCTGAGCCCGAGTGTCCCTGGGGTGATAATTGGCTGGAGAAACAGAGAAAGCTGTCCAGTTCAACTGTCACTCAACAGCCCAGCTTGACAAGGCCCCCACCAGGTTTGACATTCATTTCCAATAACTGCCTGGCCTCTGTAGCCATGTGAACTTGCAATCTGTAGTTTTAGCTCTTCTTTGTTTAAACACCCTCCAGACATGTGGGGGCCAAAAGTCCCTTCTAATCTTCTCTCCAAGTCAGATATTTACATATGGGAGTATCAAAATGTAAGCCATTATTTCAGTCCCTTAAGAGAAAAATGAAAAGTCTAGATGCAGTTTTATAGTCAAGCAGACAGAGATGATCAGGTTTTGGTCCTTATAAGAGTTTCAGCGTAAAAGTACCAGGCATTCTCTCCCATGTACAATGCCAGCATTTCATCTGACTTTCATCTGAGATGTACTGGGCCTTTTGGGTTTATCAAGCTTAAAGAAACACGACCCCACTGCAGCCCAATGTCCTTCCCATGAGGAGCCACACCTTTCTGGCTGGCCATCTGCCATGGAAACACGGAAGCACACTCACTTGTATAATTCAATGACTGGTTTTGCCACATCCTTGTACTGTCTTAGTCTGGCAGCAACTGCTTCAGGTTTGTCATCCTCCTGCTGGACCAATGGTTCACCAGTGATGTCATCGATGCCCTACAAAAACCAGAGAAACCAGTTAGTATGGCCAACAGTTGGGCTACTCCATAGGTTACATAAAACTTTCCTGGGCAAAACCATATATTCACCTTTGATTCCTACCCCGTGATGATTTAGGCCTGGGGTACAATAGTAATGGTGAAGGTAGTTGAAAAAGAAATAGCGTTCATAACAATATGTTAAGCTGTTTCCATAAGAGCTGACATTAAATCTTTATTAACTTCTCAGGTCTTTCCAAACATGTTCCAGGGGTTCTGATAAATGATACCTTCAACTCACAGTTCAAAATTCCATGCTGTCTCCCCGAACACCAAACAGCCATTAGATAATGTCACTCTAGCCCTCTAAATATTCCTAAAACTAGCTGCCTTTCTAAAGCTTGAGTTCATAATATGGAAAATAAATATCTCAAAGAACCAAACAGTTTACTTAGGGAAAACACTTAATCGACGAGGAGGTATTTCAGTCCTGTCTCTGCTAGCTTTCAAATTCTGTCACGTAGCTCTTCTGAGATTAAACTTACTCAGGTTATTTTACTAAATTAAATAATGGTATCTGAAGGTAGAATAGGCATGAATCATTATACCCATGAAAATCAGGAACAAACATTCTGAGAACTGAAAAACTGCAATTTTAGAAAATTTGATTTTCAATATATTTTAACTTCAGGAGCCATACCACCTACTTACAAATAGCAAAATGGACACATGAGAATTGCCTACCAGGGGAGAGAGTAACAAGAAATAAATCTGTCAAAAGGTAGGCTGGAGCTGAAGCGCGGCCTGGGGAAGGATGGAGGCGGCAGAGACTAAGGCGGAGGCTGCTGCCCGAGAGGCCCTGGCCAAGGTGGCAGACATCCTGGAGCCTATAGGTCTTCAGGAGGAGGCAGAACTGCCCGTGCAGATCCTGGCTGAGTTTGTGATGGACTCCCGGAAGAAAGACAAGCTCCTCTGCAGCCAGCTTCAAGTAGTAGATTTCCTGCAGAATCTCTTGGTTCAGGACGGCACTGCCCAGGACCTGAACCCCTTGGCTTCTGAAGACACGAGCTGGCAGAAGGCAATTGAAGTCAACGAGCAATGGAAAGCGCTGAAGGCCACCTACCAAGAGCACGTGGAGGCCATCACAAGTTCCCTGACCCAGGCACTGCCCAAGGTGGAGGAGGCCCAAAGGAAGCAGGCCAAGCTCCGGGAGGCCCTTGAACAACTCCAGGCCAAGAAGCAAAGGGCCACGGAAAAACTCAGAAGAGTCCAGAAGCAGTGGGAGCTACAACAGGAGAAGCGTCTGCAGCATCTGGCAGTGGTTTCTTCAGAGGTGAGGGAGCGTCAGACAGGAACTCAGCCAGGAGCTTGAACAGCTATATCAGGAACTTGGAACCCTGAAGCAGCAGGCAGGGCAGGAGCAGTACAAGCTGCAGAGGCACCAGACCTTCCTACACCTGCTATACACCCTTCAGGGTAAGCTGCTATTCCATGAGGCTGAGGCAGAGATGCCACAAGAGTTGGATCTTCCTAAGGATAAGCCCCAGCAGCTGACCCAGCCCCAGGAGCAGAACATTCAGGACACCACAGGGAGAGATGAATGTGTGTCCTCCAAGGCCAACAATCCACAGCCTGCTGGAGATACAGGCTTACCATGGCTTCCTCGGAGACAGCAACATGGGCAAGGATCCTAGAGCAGGAGAAAAACTAAAACTGGGATTTCATGTGCCTGAAGGAGTCATTTATTTTAATCATGAAGACACCTGGAAACTACAGGAAACTCATCTCATTTTGTTGTAATACTGATTGCTATCAACAGTAGTCTATTTTTTACCTGAGTATCCTGTTTATTTGTAAAGAAGCTAAATGACAGCCTGGCTCATTTTTAAATTTTGTATTAGGAGCAGAGTTTTCACTTAGGACTGTCTTAAAATTCAAAAGATACTTGCTTCCTGGATGTTTGTCTTAGTTTGACAATATTAAAGTTTTGTGATGAACAGTAAAAAAAAAAAAAGGTAGGCTAAAGCAGAATCAAAAGGCTCAGGCAACTCAACAGGACAGTCTGAAACTGGCTGTAAGTTTGAAATTCACTAAAATTTTATTATAGCTCAGGGCCTTAGGTACATAACTTACACTTAGGATTTATTGGTGAGCCGCAATTATCACATGGGTATTCCAGGGCTGTTACCCTAACAAAAGATGAGAGATGGGCATGGGAGAAAGCTGTACGTCACCTATAGTTCCCTCTCTTTTATTTTACTTACTGCTGCAAAGTTCAGAAGCCATTTCTAGGACTTCAGAGCATCAGGAGATAACAACGACTGCTTCCAGAAAGAGCAGAATAGGACATCAGCATCTCTCCTGGGGCAGCTTGGCCACAACAGCCGGTTGACTTAGGCCAGAGTAGCACTTTTACTGCTATCTTTGGAAATAGCACTGTAATTGCAGGTGTTCTTTTATGGATACCCAGTCTTTGGAAAGCAACTCAGTGTTCAGCCTTCTCAAATTTTGGGAGAGTCTGCATCAGCAGGTCTAGGCAGAGCCAAAGTATGAAGCTTTTGTGTTAAGACTCCAATGCATGTTCAGAACCCTATTTTCCTCCCTATACATTTTTTTTCCCATACTAGCTTTTGGGGATGGAATGGAGGAAGGGCTCTAATAAAGGACTTCCAGAACTACTTACATTTTAAAAAGAAAACTTGAAAAGGAGACCAGCGCTTAGCCCAAATGAAAGAGACTCATCAGGACTTAATGAAGACTTACAGAGCTAGGAAGGCGTCCTTAACCCCTTTAAGTAGTTTTCTATAGTTATTACTGACTCTATCTATATTCAAGCCTAGCCTATTCCATAAACATGAACCCAGTAAGACACAATAGCCACCCCTTCCACATTTGGACAAGAACAAGTAATAGTATCCTCCACCAAATAACTGAAGAATTATCAGATTCAACTAATTCGTGTCTTTAACAGAAAGAACAGTTACTCTTTAAATGAATTTGTCAAAAGTTTCTTTAAACATATACCTTTACATGTATTTAATCTTATGCAGATGCACAGATGTTATATTTTGAACTACTTTTTAAGGGCAATCTTTCACGCCTTTAGTCCTGCCTAGTCCCTCCTCCGCACTCCCACCACTCACATGACCCCACTCACTCTAACCCTGTTCCTTATTCTGTCCCAGCCTCAACCATTGGCCAGCCCAGGATAGTTCCTTTATATCTTTATCACTACTCCTATGAAGCTAGAGAGCACTTACAGACACGTAAACAGATATACATAAAGAACGGTGGTCACGGGGAATTGCCTGGCAGTCCAGTGGTTAGGACTCTGTGCTTTCACTGCTGAGGGGTGGGTTCAACCTCTGTTTGGGGAACTAATGTCCCACAAGCCGTGCAGCGCAAGCCAAAAAAAAAAAAAAGAAGAAGAATAAGAAGAAGGGCGGTCATGGTTTTAGAAAAATGTAATCATTCTGCTATTTGCTTTTCTCATTCAACAATACCCAGGGGAAATATTTCTCCCGGCTAAAGAATGTACTATACTATGTCTTTTTTTTTTTAACCTTATACATGATTTTCCAAAATGTGGATATTCTCAAATTTATTTAATCATCCACATAGATGAATATTCGTTTTGTTTTCAAGTTTTGTTTTATTTTTCCCACTACAAACAACATGGAAATAAGCCTCATCATGTACATGACCTGACCTGAAAGTGGTTACATTTCCATAGACTGTACTCCCAGAAGTGGGTTGAGTGAAATATGTATTTAAAAGTTTTAATGGAGGTTGCTTTGTTGCTCTTCTAAAAGACTGTTAATATTATATATACCTAATACAGGTAAGAGTATCATTTTCCCAGATCCCAACCAGCAATAAATGTTGTAAACGTTAATTTACATCCCTTCACTACTAGTGAATGAGAATTTTAAAATATTTGCTGGCTATGTATATTTGCTCCTTTTGGAATAGCCTATTCATATCGTTCCCCCGCTTTTCAACTGAAATGTTTTACCTCTTTCTTGTCAATATGCGAAAGTATTTTGTATATTCTTACATGTACATGAGGCGGGTTGAAGTCCAGGTTATATACCCTCCCACTAGGAGGGTGAATCCAGCGTCGGCTGAGACGATCTTTGAGCGTTTCAAATGGAATGTTCAAAGTGATCACTAGGTCCAGGTCACATATTTTGTCCAAGGCTTCGGCCTGAACTAATGTTCTAGGAAAACCTAAATGCCAAAACAAAACATCAAATGTGAGACACTTCCCAATTCAATTAGTTGTTGAAATATTTTCAGAGACAGAATAATCAAATCTGCACATACACTACCCAGAAAGGAGATTTAATCAGCAATTTATATCTACTTCTATAAATTTAATACTATAAGAAAATATGTTACTTTACAACCTAGCTTTAGCATTTGGAATATGAAAGGCTAAGGAGTCACATGATAAAAGCAATAAGTGCTAAACATCACTAGGCTAGTCCCAGCTCTAGTCTCAGCTCTGCTCTTAACTACCTGTGTGACCTTGGGCAAGTTATAACACCTCAATTTCTTCTTCTGTTAAAGAATCAAAGGGGCAAATTTATTGGTGTCCTTTCAGTTCTAACAACTTATGAGCATATTATTCTTAGGATACCTCTATATATACACACAAATATTTTTTAAGTCTAAATCAATTAAATTAGGATCCTTCACTCAGACCTTCATTTGAGCCTGCACCTTAGTAACAAGGTGGGCAAAATTCCAATCTCAAAAAGAACTGGTGCTTTTGAAACTATCTGGATACTGCAAAACTTATAAATTCACCCTACTTTTCTAAATGTCGGAAAATAAACTGCAATTGAAATTTGGACTCATGGGCATCACTTTCTTTTTTGCAGTTAGCTGACCCCAAATTTTATATATATATATTCCCCTCCCCACCAGGGATTGACCTACTTTAAAGGTAACCCCAGGTTTGGCTGGGATGGTACACAGTAGTATCTTTTTCCTGAATAGTTTGTCAAGTTGGTCTGTTTTGTTAAAAACCTTACTGTATCCAATTATCACTTTTTTAAAAAAAGTCCTTTAAATCTTAGGTAAAAGAGCTGGGTGGATGGAGGCAGGAAAGAAAGTATAATAGGAGGTGCAATATTCAGAAGACAAACTTAAATCACTTAACAATCAAAGAACTCCTTTTCCTATTACAGGAAGTCAGTTATTCAAACATGAATGTGCTGCACTCTGTGTTAAAATCTCCAAGTCGTTTGAATGCGAAGGTGATTTCAGAGTGTTTGTTGCATTCAGTGTGACAAAACCCACCCAACGCTGTCTCTATGCCCCCGCTCCAGGTACCAACCTCTGCTCCCTTCGATGCCTTCCTTATTCCCTGTGAGGCCAGGCCCTTTCCTCCAAAGCCTATTCCTCCCAGGGTCCTCATCCATCATCTTCTGCACACAGAAATAGGCCCCTCTTCCCCTCCTCTCCATACACCAGGACTCTGGATGATATTTCTGATTTTCCTTCGTCTTGCATGTTCCCCAGCTGCAACCCAACTCACCTGTTCCCACAACTTCACCTTTGGGCTACCCATGACACCATTTTCCTTATCTACACTTCCATAATTTATTCTTCTTTTGTTCAGTATCACATGACATGATGCCCAAGGTTGACTTTGGCCACGTCGACTTACTTTCAATACTGCTCTCGTCACTAGCTCCTTTCTATCTTTGTAGTATCAGATACCTCTGCCTCAGGGCCTTTGCATTTGCTGTCCTCTGCCTAAAATGTTCTTCCTGCAGGTCTCTGAATACGACTCCTTATCATTTGAGATATATGCATAAATGTAACTTCCTCAGGGAGACTTCTTACACTAGTATACTTAAAATAGTCCCATTCCACTATCTATCTCATTACTCTTTATTTTCTATTATTTATTACTATGAATAATTTCCAAGTGTTTATGCTTATTTTCTATCCCTATCTCACTCTGAGAAAAGGGACTTTTTCTGTCTTGATCATTGCTATACCCTTCAGCTCCTAAAAAAATTAACACAGATGAGCAACTTAGCATAGGGCCTTGTAGCTATTTCCAAAGTTTATGCCCTGATGAACTTGCTTACAGTACTTTATATCTAGGTGTCTTTGCAAGTCCCATCTGAAATTATTCATTCCCTATATCTTATTAAACTCAACATCTGGTCTGCAGTCCAATGTAAGCCCCCTGGTCACAGTAAGTACAGAAATGAGAAAAAACATTTAGGAATGTTATAGAAATTCCATAGAGTAATTTTAACTCTGTTGAATCTAAAATTTGGGCTTGAATTTATTGTTTTTTTTCCTTTAATTTTTCCAGTAATTTATATTTGGCAAAAAAGATTGCTCTGCAGTGGATTGAGGAAACAAATAAAACTGGATTTTCGCTACAGATAATTTGTTCTAGGCTTCCCCTGGAGCTTCTTTTCTTAATTTCTCCAGTAAGGGAAAGTATCCAATGGCCCAAGTTTCCAAATTTTTTTTTTTTTTAACTGGGCCAACCTTTATTATTTTTTTTAAACCCCACATTTGTTTAGTTATTTATTTTTGGCTGTGTTGGGTCTTCATTTCTGTGCGAGGGCTTCCTCTAGCTGTGGCGAGCGGGGGCCACTCTTCTTCGCGGTGCGCGGGCCTCTCACTATCGCGGCCTCTCTTGTTGCAGAGCACAGGTTCCAGATGCGCAGGCTCAGTAGTTGTGGCTCACGGGCCTAGTTGCTCCACGGCATGTGCGATCTTCCCAGACCAGGGCTCGAACCCATGTCCCCTGCATTAGCAGGCAGATTCTCAACCACTGTGCCACCAGGGAAGCCCCCAAGTTTCTAAATTTTGATGTTGTTTATTGCAGAATCTCTTAAGAGATTAAGTGGTATCTCTTTGCAAAGGAATACAAGAACAGAGAGACCCAAACCCAGGGCGCATTTCAACTCTATTCTTATGACAAGGAAAGACAGAGTAAGTTCAAACAGAGGTGAGGAGAGGCTTATCTTGCAGAGCACATCTAAGTTCATCGGCTATCATGTGCCCAACCTAAGCTACACACATGCTTCCACCAGGCAACACCAGAGCTGTTCCAACATTACAGCTAGCATCAGAAGAAACTGCTTTCACATCCTCATTTGCTGTCCTCTTGTGATCTCTCTTGCATTCAGGCTGGCTTCATCAGAGAAACAGGTATTTCTAATCTTGCAGCCTAGGCTCTGGTGCCAACAGTCACTCAGTTGTATCCCCTCCTTCCTCCCACACTGGCTAAGCATCCCCTTCACATAAAGGCATCCGCATGTTGGGAGACTATGCCTGGAAGTATGTTCAGGGTGCTTCTGCAATGGGAATTGAGATACAGTATCTTCAAAACAGAAAACAATATTGCCTTTAAATAAACTAACTAGATTTTTTTCAAATCTCAACATAATTTCTCTCAGATCAGATTATGACTGCTTGGTATCTGGGGAAGTAAAAGATCAAATCATACCTGCCTAAGATTAAGTACAATGTAGACACCTTGGCCTTAGCTCTGGAAGGCAGCAACGCCTGGTACACAGTGGGCAAACACTAGGGTAGTTGTCTTCTACTGTTCTTTCTTATTTATTTATTTATTTATTTATTTACTTATTTTACTTATTTGGCTGTGTCGGGTCTTAGTTGCGGCACGCGGGATCTTCGCTGCAGCGCGCAGTCTTCTCTCTAGTTGTGGCACGCGGGGTCTAGAGTGCGCGGGCTTAGTTGCACTGCGGCACGTGGGATCTTAGTTCCCTGACCAGGGATTGAACCCACGTTCCCTGCATATGAAGGCAGATTTTTAACCACTGGACCACCGGGGAAGTCCCCTTCTAGTTTTCTATTAAGTGAATATACTTCTTTGATTAGTCTGCCTTATTTGTAAATAATTCCATGAAATTATATGACTCTTGAGCTCTGTAAAGTCTATATGTAACCCTCTATTAGGGAATGGCTTGATTACTTTAAAATTGATGCATTAAGCAACTTCTCTTTTGATTATTATGAAGTTCAAAAACAGACTGACTTTTAGAATTGGGGTTTCATAGCATTTGAGTGTACTCTGGAGCCCCATATATGTGACAGTTACCAGGTAAATAATAATGTAATGCTATCTGGATCACCAAGGAGCAAGATTTAGACCCATGTGGGCACTCATGGCTCAATTCTATCTACGGCTGCACAGACTCGGGGACAGGGAAGGGGTCTTAGGAGAGTCCAGATAAAACCACACCAAATTCTTTCCCACCAAATTCCCTTTTGAATACTACACACACCCTCAGCCAGGTGCTTTCCTCTGTCTCCCTCCTCCCAACAGCTCACTGCAGGTCAGGCTGGGGATGCTAGAGTGAGCACTTTGGCAGCAGGCCCAAGCACTATGCCAAGTCTTAGTCCACTTCAGCCTACACCATGCACCAGAGTCTGCCCTAGAAGATGAGCTTCCTGAGGTGGGGACTTAAGATGTGTCTCACTCCCCTTGTTATCTCCTGGTACTGTGCCCAGTACAATCTACAGTGAAACACCAATAAAGTGAGGGCAGTAAGCCTTCCACATAAAGGCACTCTCCCACTGATGGCCAGGTCCTGCCTTTCCCTGTATAACCTACTCATTGAAGCTTCAAGATGACAACTGGAATTAGAAAGATGCCTGCAGCCAAAACAATCCCAAATCAATCTTTGCTCTTTCCTCAAATCCAATTTAAAGGAAAAGCCATCTTCTGAAGCAGTAGCTTCCTAACAGACCCTCCTTAGAGTACAGAAAGAAACAGAACTTCTATTGTTTTTTTTTTCTCATTCTTTTTAATCTTCTATTTTGGAGGGCCCATTTTACCAGTTATATATTAATAAAATTGTATGTATTTATATACTTATACATAAATATCCATAGGCTGAAGATGTAGACAACATTTTTTTTTTTTTATAATTCTTTTTTCTTTTTTTTTGCGGTACACGGGCCTCTCACTGTTGTGGCCTCTCCCGTTGCGGAGCACAGGCTCCGGACGTGCAGGCTCAGCGGCCATGGCTCACGGGCCTAGCCGCTCCACGGCATGTGGGATCTTCCCGGACTGGGGCACGAACCCGTGTCCCCTGCATCGGCAGGCGGACTCTCAACCACTGCGCCACCAGGGAAGCCCTAGACAACATTTTTATTGATGAGTATGCACAAAGAATTTTAGCAATCAGTTAAAGACCTCAATTCTCAGCCACAGTCCCTGG